TAATGAGAAACTGTGGCAGCTGGGGGCCCTGCAGCTAAGGGCCCCCTCGCATCTGGCTGCTCCTCACCCACTCCACCACCGCCAGCTTCTTTGGGGCAGGGCCCCCCAAAACTATTTCTTGCAGGGGGGCCCAAAAAATTGTGTGCCAGCCCTGCTTTGGGGCACAAACACCCTTCTTTAGGCTGAGGAAGTATTTGCAGTTGTTCTGTGCTCTTCCTGGATGGAATGAATAGGGAAATTTATTGTGGACTTCATAAGAAAATTGTGTAATAAATGTAAGTTAAAGCCAGGGCCTGCCACCATCACGCCTCCTGCCATGTACCTGTGGTGCACTTGGGTAGATCCTATCACACCTTCACCTAAAGATCTAGAGGGGACCTGACTGGCTTCTGTGGTAAAGTGTTTTCTGAGCCACAATGCCCCTGGGAGTTAAAAGAGCTGGAGGTGGGAACAAAACTTTCTCCCATTCTAGGAGGATTATAGCACTGCCAGTTCATAGAATCATAGAAAATGAGGGTTGGGATGAAGCCGACAGGGGGTCATCTAATTCAGTGGTTCTCACCCTTTTTCCTACTGGGACCCATTTGCAAAGATCCGTGGCCTATCTGGACCCACAACGCCCCAGCCCTGCTGGTGCCCGACACCCAGTACCCTGCTCCCCGGGACCATGCTGATGTCCCTCACTCCTGACCCGCATCTCCCTTCCCCCAACCCTGATGGAGGGGCCCTCAGCTGCCCCCATCCTGATTGGGCTGGAGGGTGGTGGCTGCGGTGGCCCTGGCTCATGTGGGTGGCAGCAGAGAGTCTGGCTTGGGCTAGAGGGAGGAGGAGGAGAGACCTGTGGCACCCCCTCTTGCTCTGGACTAGGGCTGTCATGCCACACCTGGCAGCGTGGTCATGGGCCCTCCTGGCCCCCAAACACTGTCTCCTGGCCACCCTGCCCCTGTGAGCATGGGCACCAGCCCTGGTGCCACCAGCACAACCACACAGCTCTGCCTTGCCCCCTTCCCCACTTGCCTTCCTGCAGCCCCTCTGTCCTGCCACAGCTTGTGACCCTTTGAAATATTCTCGCAACCCACTTTTGGGTTAGACCCGATGGTTTGAGAAACAATGATCCAGTCTAACCACCTGCTCAAAGCAGGACCATTCCCAACTGGATCATCTCAGCTTTGTCTACCTGGCTCTTAAAAACCTCCAAGGATGGAGATTCCACCACCTCTCTGGGTGTCCTGTTCCAGTGCTTCACTGCCGTCCTTGTGAGAAAGTTTTTCTCATATCTAACTTAAATATCTTTGCTGAAACTTATGGGTATTGGTATGGGTATTTCCATGTTTCTGGGCTTTGCTGGTTGCCCCCATGACCCTTTTTCTGCTACATGTGTCTTGGTGTTTTTATTTTAAGCCTTCTCAGTGATATTGGGTATTGGCTACAGCCAAGGCTGGGGACTTTGACTGGGGTGTGCCAATGTTCCTGCTGGGACCCAAGTTGGAGGTTCCTGGCTAGAGGGTCTTGCCCTTCTTCTCAGGGTCAGACTTATTGTCATATTTGGGGTCAGGAAGGAATTTTACCCCATGGTCCCTCCTAACTGTTGGGGTTTTGCCTTTGCCTGTAGCCCTCTACTTGGGATTTTTTGAACATATACTGACAACATTTTATAGAAGCAGAACATTGGCTGCCGTGGTTCCTTTACTTTACTGATGACCCATTAGGGTGTGTTGTATCAGGGCTGACAGTAGTCTTATGTAGAGTTTAGATTATGATTATATGGGATGATTTGCATAGGCCTGATACTGTCTCAAGCAGGGGGTTGGACTAGATGACCTCTGGAGGTCCAGAGCCAGCCTTAGGTGTGGGTGACATGGGCAAGTGCCCAGGATGCTGTGGTCACGGGGGTACCAAACACACATACACAAACACAGTGAGCAGCCTATGCCCACAGCGGTGCTTTGCCCAGGCCTTGTCCCACCCCAGCCAACCCTGGCCCCAGGCTGGAGGAGCAATGCGCAGCCCAGCCTGTCCCCTGCCTCCACCCGATGCTCAGGAGGAGCCAGGGCAGGCACATCTGGGTGTGGTGGCACCTGCTCCAGTCCACCCGCCTTACTCTTGTGCAGCAGTAGCGGTGCCTGCCTGGAGCACCCTGCTACTCTGCCTCTGTGCCAGACGGTGCCCTTGTGCTGCTCACTCAGGGGGGTGGGGAGGAAGGGAGGTAGGAGGGCATCAAAATACAAATAAATACAAATCCCCCCATTTTCGGCTCTGTGGAGGTCCCTCCCAGCTTTGCTTCTCTGGGACTCCCTGGCCATTGCTTCTTGTTCTGTCACCTGCCACCACTGAGACTAGTCTAGCTCCTTCCTCTTTGCAGCCACCCTTCAAGCGCTGTGTGATAAAACTGTCAAGCATTGCAACAGGGAGGCTCTGCACTCTCCATCCCTGGACATTTTCAAGACCAGGTCAGACAGACACTGGCCTGGGGAGAGGTTTGAATAAGTTGGGGATGCCCCTGCCTTGAGCAGAAGCCAGCATGTGACTAGACTAGACAGCCTGTGACAGTGGTGGCCTTAGGGTTGTTGGGACCCTGGGCCAGACAGTCATTTGGGGCCCCTTAGAGGCTTCATTTTGATGACTGATAAGCATGGGTGACGTGTAGGGGGTGCACGGGCACCCCTCGAGATTGGCGGGGCACCGACACTGCCGGTGGTTGCCAATTGCGGGTGGGTGCTCGCCACTCCCCACGCCGCTGCTGCGGCCGCCCGCGATGCCCCCAGCCTCCGGGGACACCCCTCGTTCATGCCTATAAGCAAGCCGAACATTTCCGATTTCAGTTTCCCTTTGCCCTATCAGTGAAACTGCCAGGAAAGTATCTGCTAACACAAATGTCCCACGCAAGTAATGTTTATGTTGATAAAGCGCGGGGCCCGGTTTGCCCTCCCTGCCCCGCCTGCCTAGGGTCGCCCTCAGCTCCCCCAGCCAGAGCTGGCGGCTGTCCAGAGCCTTCCACCGCCCCTGCCGGACTCCCGGGTTTCCTGGGCGTCTTCCCGGCCCTGCGGGGACCCCGGGGAGGAGCGGGAGGAGCCCCCGTCCAGCCCGGGCCGGTCCCTGCGCGCCCCGGCCCCTCCCGCCAGGTGAGGTGCGGGGCGGGGCGGGACGCGGCAGCACCCGGCGCAGGGGGAGGCTGCAGCCCGGGCGTCCCGC